TGACTCTAAAGTCTTGGAATCAATTTGTAGCTCCTGGTTCATAACGACAAAGAAAACTAAGGTCTTAAAAATATTTCTAATTACTTTATCAGCTGGTGAAAAGTCCAAGTGCCGAAGAAATTTATAGACAAAGTCGGAGAGAAGATGGGGAGAGAACGATGAAGAAAATTCTGTCTGGGCAAAACAATTTGTAAATTGCTTCCGACAGCAAATTCAATAACAACAGCACCGGCCAGAAGCGGCAACTGCTGGCCACGGCTGAAAACTGGCAACTAATAGTTACTTTCAATCATTCATCATCGATTTCAATAAACAATTTCAATGGTCAAGACGAGAGACGCACAATAGACGAGGCAAGGTGGGGATCGCTCACTCCCCTTTGAAAGAGGCATTGAACGTGTGAAAGATTTGTTTCACTTCTCGAGGCAGTTGAACTTTCTGGATGGGATGCGGATGGGGACGGGGGATGTTGCCTATGGACGCTTCTTCTCCAGCATCTTCTTCGTCTTCATCTTATGAGGGGCGATGACTGGTCGAAACAATCAGAGATCCATTTGGGCTTTATGCTTGACCATCTTCTATTCCTTTTGCCACTATAATTGGAAATTCTCGCCGCTTACATAGTTGCAAAATCACAAATGGATATTTGACGAGCCGCAAAGCACTTCGATCCATACGAAAGTAACTTTTGTGGCACATGCAACCTTGACATTTCGTGGCGCCCAAAGCGCTCTGATCATTTTTCTCAAAAAAAAAGGGAGAACGCCCCTGCTGAATATTAGAATATTTCAAGACGCGATTAAAACGTGTTTCGATTCCATGCGAGCCGTTGCGGTAATCGCCTGAAAATGTCAAGAGTCGAGCGAGTCAAATGATGCGATATATATTTTTATATAGACATTACTTATGGCCGGGCAGTGAGTGGATTGTTAGAACCAGTCAATACCAATAACAAGTCGGTTGAAGTAAGTCAAATAAATAATCTTGCCAAATACGCATAACAAAGAATTTAATTAACTAAAAATACATTTTTTCGTACCCTTTTAAAAAGACTTACATAAAGTCTAAAATTACACAATGCACTTATTAAACAATTAAAACAATTATTTGGCAAATTTAGCAATCTCTCTCAAACTGTAACTCTAATCATATGGAAAACACCTGTGCCTGTGCCTCCAACATTTTTAGTCCGACATCCATGTAGATTACGACACTTTCCATGCCATTCTGCCACCATCTCTCCATCGCTCTCCTTTTCTGGCTCTTCTGGAATATTTTTGTCGTATGCTAAACAAAAGACTCAAGCAACGAACTTGAGGTTGGAAGCTGGAACTTGGCTCACTTCTGCGCGTTCCTCTTCCTCGCTTCTAGCGGATAATTGTGGCATTAAAATTGCTTTTCATTTGCCTCAAAATGAAGCAATTGTTAAACCTTGGACTAAGGGGAGCATACAGGGCCCGATGGTGTGGCTGGAATAGGGGGGAGGAAAGCCATGCGGATGTGAAACTGCGCGCGCATATGCGGCGCTTCTTTTGTTTTCTTTTCTTTCGTTATTATATATTTTCTTTTTGCCACTTTCTGGGCAGCTGCTTAACATGCCACACAAGCTGGCAGATGCACCAGACAGGTAGCATAAAGAAGATGCAACTGCAACAGTAAAAATATGTAATTATGTTAGAAGGCAGTCGATGGCTTCAACTCGGTCGTAGATGTATAGAAAAAAAAAGCTCTTTATTAAAAATAAAAGATATTTTATTTTATAAAAAAGAAAGGTTAACCATTTGTGGGCTGAATATTTTTTCGAACAATTTTTCCCTGTGCATGAAAAAACTCCCTACTTCTGGCATACCAACTTCTGGTGCCCCACTCGATACGATAACCCCTTCCTCATTCTTATTTATTGTAATGTCTGGGTTTTATTTGAATTTATTATGCAATCTGTTTGGTTTTTGCTCTTCTATTGATTCCGTTTGATGGATTTATGTCGCGGGTATTTGACAAATTATAATGCCTGGCATTTGCCTAATGTTTAGCATCTGAGAGGCATCGTCGTTCGTTCCTATGTTATTGGCCAACTATCTGGTACTTGGCCAGCCAAAACTAGTTTCGGTCATTTGTCAAATGCCTGACAACTTCGTGACATCGAAATTGAAATATGTGTGCGGATGCAAAGCGGTAATGATTGCCACATCAAATTAACTGCCAATCTGGTATCATTTTCATTGATCTGGCGATTAAATTGCAACAGCCGAAAATCACTCAATTTGTTGGCCAAAAACCATAACTCCCCATAGGCCCCCTCGCCCTTCACTTTCGATCGGTTCGAAATTTATGCGACCGCTGAACTTGAACAGAGTCAATAAAGCTGCATAAATAAAAATTAAATGGGGAAGCAAACAAACATCTTGAGCAACCCGAAATCAGCTATGATTTATTAAGTTAACCGGTCTGATCCCCATCAAGCTGTTTCCATTCCCCGCTCCAGTCGCCCACCACCCAGCGCGATGAGAATTGGGTCAAAATTAGCAACTCTTTAAGCCAATTTCGATGCGTTTTAGTACTGGGAGAAGGTGGGAACTGAGTTATGGTATTTCAACAAGTTCTGTCAGTCACAAAGATCTCTGTCAGGAATTTCATATTGCGGGAATTGTAGTAATTATTTTAACAAACAAAAAATACACCAAATGCATCTAAAATTCAAATGGGAAAGCTAAATATCGCCTTAATTTGCAATAAAAACTAACAAATTTTTTTAGAGAAAATAAAATCGTAAATTGCTTGAAAGAAACATGAATATTTTGTTAACTAGGTTGCTACGATTAATTAAAATTCTTCCACTCTGAATGACACTCGAAAATATTCCCACTGCAATAATCAAGAGACTGGCTCTTGTACTTTCCCCTGACATTGCTACAAATACCAAACCAAATAACAAAAAAAATCCCCTTCAACTGTAAATTGTGTGAAAAATGGCAAACTCTCAGATACAGACAGTCGTCAGTCACATATATGTGTGCTGATGGGCCAGACAATATGAAGATGTTTATAATATTATAATTAATTATGCTTTTCTGAATGCTTCAAAGCCTCAAAGTCAAAGCAAAGTTCAATGCCAAAACGAAAACAAACACGGACCAAAACAAAAGCCGCCGGCCAAGCTACATTTTGAATGCAACTCCCAGCTGATAATGCTTAATTATATACACATAAAGCGCAGCTCCATCTTCATAGCCATCGCCACAGCGGGCTAAGCACAAAAAAAACAAGAACAATGGCCCCGCAAATGATGAACAAAATTGTAAAATGAAACCCGAAGATAATTCACACGGTTCGAGCACTTGAGCAAAGGGCATGAAAATGCGAGCACTGAATCCAATAAACTCTATTGAAAGCTTGGCAAACAAATTTAATGAATATAATTAAGATTTTTAACTCCGACAGTGACTCTGACCCACTAAGATATTTATATTAAACAGAAGATCAATATCGCAATCTTCAGTTAATACAAAGCCTCTGATAAATAGAAACAAGACCTTACATTCTAATGAGATTGGGAGTCTAAAGCACTGACAATATAAGGAAGTTCTCAGTCTAATTTTCACGTTGATCCCAATCCAAGTACAAAAATTGCACTCGAAGTGCACTCTAAGGGCAAGCGTGGCTCAGATTAGCATCAACAAGCAAATTATATTGCCCAAATAATTGCCTCAATTAACCAAGCAAAGCCGAATGCCAAATCTATCGTAAAAACACAGCTCAGCCAAAAAAATAAAAGCAAAAAACAGCAGTCATTAAGTCTCAAAGTGCAGGCGACGGCAATTAAATGTTTATGTTGGCAAATACTCCTACCAAAAAAGGTTTCTATCGGTTTTGGTACAGATGCCTTTTTAAGGCAAATAATTAGACAAATTTCCAAAATATCCAAATTATATTCTCATTTAAAAAAACACCATTTTAGACTAAATTAAGACATATATAAGGCTGTACAACATACTTCACCTACAATTATTCCAATAACTTTCGCTTTAGAGATCGTGCATGTTAAAATCATTGGAAAAATAATAAATAAATTTGTTATACAATTGTGTAAATATTTGCTTCTCATGAACCCAATTACAGAGATCCCTTTTTGAGCGCATTTGAAAATCAAGTGAACCGATCCACTTGAATCGCTCAACGATTCCCCAAGTGGAAGTTACCCATTTTTTGGGGTTTCCACTTTCAGGTTACAATGGCTCCCAACTATATACCCGTATACCCCTTGAGTGATTGAGCTCTCGGATCGACTTACTAACGTATTGATGTCTCATCCGGCTCGGCATTCATTTTTCATCACACTTTATTTACCCAACAATTTCAGTTCGCCGCAAAACAATTATCTCGAGCAACAAAAAATATCCAGGTTGCTGCTGTTTGTGAACTCATTTGCATATATATTTTTGCACAACACCGCAAACAAAATAAAAACCTTAAAAATATATATATATATAAGTATATATTTAACTAAAGTAGCTCAAAGCAAGCTCGGCTCATAAACAAATTGATTAGCGTCTTTGGCGTTGCAAGAGCAAGAGCAAGAGCAGCATCAACAAAGACCACTTGGCACTCGAGATAAAAGCCAATGGATCATGAATAAATTGCTGGCCATTTGATGGGAAAAAGCAATGACTGTTGCTAGGCTAATAATGCTGGGTATTCGTACCAAAAATCTGGCCGAGGCCTCATCCTCATCCACGTCCAAAGAATTCGCAGTTGTGTGCGATCTGATGGGACACACCTCTGCGGCTGTGGGGTGATCTCTTCACACTTGGCACGTGTACTTGGGTGTTTAGTTTTTGCTCAAATAAAAAATAAATCAATTAGCGCAATGACTAAGCTTAGCATCCCTAAATACATTGTTACCTCCAGATGTTGTCATTGATTTGAAAAAAATCGTATTATGAATTTTGATTAAAGAAATAGATTTCAAAAACTTATCTAAACTCTTTTCTTAATTCCAGATACATAACTCCAGCAGCAGCGGCAACGGCAACAGGCACCTCGTCGAATTCTGCAACTGGTGGCACCAGCCTAGCGGTCTATCCCACTGCCACCGCCCAGGTTTACAGGTCCAACAACGGTCTGGATGTCCTGGACTGCGCTGGACTGGAGCACCACAACACAGGCACCACCGCATCCGGGCACTCTGGCAGTGGCTTCTCGCAACGGTTGAGGGAACTGGCCGCATCCGCAGGACTGCTCTCCCTTAAGCCACGACAGCCCCTCAAGCCGGTGATCAAGACGCGTGGTTCTCCAGGTCCGGAATTCCCCAAGAAGGTCACCTTTAGCGCCTTTGCCACCGTGCAGGTCGTATGAGACAAGGCCAGAGGGGGTCATCGGTGGGTCTAGCATCTGTGGCATCTGTGCAGGCGCAGAGCAAGGTGAGAAATTTTTAAAATAAAAACTAAAATTAAATAAATACTAAAGATAGTTTTTTTTCTTTGCAGTTTCATCTTGCATCTTGTTAACCGTTGTTCGTTGTTATTTAATATTTGTTGCTGTTGTTAAATGTTTAGCCAAAACTATGGGAACGGATAATTATTCCTGAAAATGATGAAACATAAATGAAAAAATGTTGTGCCATGTCCGTGGCTTGAGAATGAAAATGACAACCATATAGAGAAAATAAAACTCCCCATAGCTGAAGAAAATACCTCAAATACCCGAAGCCTCTATCGTCTCTACATCTACAAAACTTTTGCTCCATCTAAGTTACTTTCCTTTGGTAGACTGACTTTTCGAAAACTTTCCTATAGTTCCTTCTATTCAGCATCCCCCCCTCTACTAAAACAGTATTTTCCATCTTTCCTCACTATATCTTCCTCACATCCGAACATCTATGTATAATTTAAAGACTATTAACGCAAAAATTCTAAATATTTTCTACAAAATTGTAAATATATATGAATTTTTGTTTAAAAACAAATTAAACGGCAAATATAGTCATTATGTATTCAAAATAAATATGTATGTCTAATATGTAAGTCTGTTTTGTGTATGTGTGTATATATATAAACCAAGATTTTGCATTGATTATGTAATAAGTTGAAAGACATAATTCTCGAATCAACACATATATTAAGCGACACTGCTGTACATTATATTTAAAATAAAATCAAATATATTATTTAAGTCTAATCTAATGCATGATAAATAAAGTAAACATAAAACAAATCTACCAATTGTCTTTTTTTCTTTAAAGGGACTAGAAAATTAATGTTCGATTTCTGCGAGATAAATGAATTTGAAAGATTTATTTAAAATTATTTAGTTAGTATTTGTTTTTTAATATATGTTTTTTAAACAAAAAACAACCATTACTGAGGCAAAATAATAAAAAAATTCTATTAGATTTTATTTTTTTTTAGGCTTTATTAGAAAATAATAAGCTTCTGGGACTTTTATTTTGATTTGGAACTACTAAAAAGAAAAGGGTGATTATTTTTTAAAGAAAAGTTTTCATTTTCAAAAAAGACTTTTGTTGAAAAATGTTTTGATAAATAATAAATATCTCCGGCTTATAAAGGTTTTAAAGGGTGTTGAATTTTAGAGAGTACGTTAGTTTTGCCAAGAATTTATCATTAAACTCGGTTTACAAAGTATATATATTTAGTAGTATAAAAAGTATATATATTTATGATCAAGATCATTTCTTAGGTCAATGTATCTGCTAATACGGATGATTTTTTTGAAGTTAAATGTCAGAGGACGCTCCTTTATTTGTTCTAGGAAGTATATTTATCGAATTCATCAATTAAAACTATTAAATTAGTTTTTTTTTAGCTTTAAAAATGAAACTCCGCAAAACCATGTTTGAATTAACTGCCTAACAGTTTCTTTTACTTTGCGCTTAACAGCACTACAATTTCTGTAAATAACAGTATCTGTACCTAACAGAAAATACTAGAAAATATCGATACATTCCCGCCATTCCCGCCATAATGAAACTCCGCTCTAACAAACCAAACTTCAGAGCTGAGCAACGGAGGCAATTAGTAAATATTTGAAACCAAGAATTGTAAATATTCAAAGCCAGCCATGTCCGATTCGCCTTGTAAGTTTAAAAGCAGATAAACCTTGGTCAGGTTTTCATATTGAGTTATACTTTTAGCCGGACCCCGTGCCAAGCGGCAGCGCATTGACAAAAATGGGAGATTCGCTGCCTTGGAACGATTGCGCCAATTAAAGGGCACAAAGAACAAATGCCAGGTGGAGGACCAGGTGGACGATGTCTACGAGGTGGTCGATGAGCGGGAGTATGCCAAGCGCGCCCAGGAGAAGTACGGCGACGATTGGATCGAAGATGGTAAGTTCCGGATGATTTACTCTCCGTTCCGTAAGAGGAAACTAATATGACACCTTCTCAGATGGCACTGGGTATGCGGAAGATGGTCGCGACTTTTTCGAAGATGAAGATGAGTACTCCGACGCCGAGGAGGAAGATAAACCTAAAGGGAAAAAGAAGAAAGGCGTCTCGGCCAACAGCAACAAGAGGCCACGTGAAAGTGATAAACCCGCCAAGGGAAAGGCATCCATCAAAAATCTGTTTAGTAATGCTGTGCCCAAAAAAGTGGACATTAAAACCAGTGTGAAGGACGATGACATCTTGGCGGATATCCTGGGTGAAATTAAAGAGGAACCGGGAGAAGTATCCACCAAAGTGGAGAAGGTCATAGCTCCGGCAAAAATTGCAGCAGTCAGCAGAAAATCCGAAGCCGCCGCAGCCAAAGATTACATGAACAGTTTCCTGAACAACATCAAAGTCCAGGAGCAGGAGCGCAAGAAGGCGGAAGCCAGTAGCGATCACGAAATGCTGGAACGCATCCTTAAGCCCAAAGCCACTGTGCCCAACAAAAAGGTGGCCACGTTTGCCTCATCCACAGTGAAAAAGGAGAAGGATATCCCAGAAATCAAACCCGCCGCCAAAGAACCTAGCCAAGATGCATTTTCCGACAATGAAATGGATTTCAGTTGCCTGGATGACGACGAAAACCAGTTCGATTTGGAGCAGGCGAAGCAGCCAGAGGAGAAGACTGCTGAAGCCAAGTCCGTAGAAAAGATAGTCCCCAAAAAGGAGCCCGTAGAATCGCCACCGAAGCCAGAAGCCGACCCTGAGGACATGAGCAAATTGCTGAGCAATTGGGAGTCCATTTGCCAGATGGACGATGACTTTGAAAAGTCAGTAACCACCGCAGAGATGGAGGGCCCGATTTCCTCCAGCGAGCAGTTGCGCTTCTGGTACTGGGAGGCCTGGGAGGATCCAGCAAAGCTGCCCGGCGAAGTCTTCCTCTTTGGACGAACAGCCGATGGGAAGTCCGTCTGCGTTAGGGTTCAAAACATAAACCGGGTGCTCTACCTCTTGCCCAGACAATATGTAAGTATTGGGAATCTTCTAGCTTTATAGTGGCAGGTATTTGAATGTATTCCTTTCTCCATAGCTTCTAGATCCGATTTCGAAAGAGCCCACCAAGGAAAAGGTAACCGTGGCGGACATCTACAAGGAGTTCGACAGCGAAGTGGCTACTGAACTGAAGCTGGAAACATTCCGATCCCGAAAAGTGAGCAAAAACTTCGCCCACCACGCCATTGGCATTGACGTGCCCCAGACCTGCGATTACCTGGAAGTCCATTATGATGGAAAGAAACCAGCGCCCACCTTGGCTTCAAACAAGAAATACAACTCGATTGCCCATGTCTTTGGATCCACAACGAATGCCCTGGAGCGTTTCCTGCTGGATCGAAAGATCAAAGGACCCTGCTGGCTGCAAGTGAGCGGATTCAAACTGAGTCCGGCGCCCATGAGCTGGTGCAAAACGGAGGTGACTGTGTCGGAGCCAAAGAGTGTGGAGTTGGTCCAGGACAAGGGCAAGCCAGCTCCTCCACCACCACTCACTCTCCTCGCCTTGAATGTACGCACCTGCATGAACCCGAAGACCCTGAAAAATGAAATCTGCATGATTTCCATGCTCACCCACAACCGATTCCATATTGACCGGCCGGCTCCCCAGCCCGCTTTCAATCGTCACATGTGCGCCCTGACCCGACCCGCGGTGGTCAGTTGGCCACTGGACTTGAATCTGGAATTGGCCAAATACAAGTCCACCAAGATATACAAGCACGACTCGGAGAAGGTCCTGCTGAACTGGTTTCTGGCGCAGTACCAGCAAATAGACGCGGATCTGATTGTGACGTTCGACGCCATGGATTGCCAGTTGAACGTGATCACCGATCAGATTGTAGCCCTGAAGATACCCCAGTGGTCGCGAATGGGTCGTCTGAGGATGACTCAGTCCTTTGGCAAACGATTGTTGGACCATTTTGTCGGACGGATGGTCTGCGATGTGAAACGGTCTGCGGAAGAGTGCATTCGAGCCAGGTCCTATGATCTTCAGACTTTGTGCCAGCAGGTCTTGAAGCTCAAGGAATCGGAGCGCATGGAAGTAAATGCCGATGATCTGCTGGAGATGTACGAGAAGGGTGAGAGCATCACCAAGCTTATATCCCTGACCATGCAGGACAACTCCTACTTGCTGCGTCTAATGTGCGAACTGAACATCATGCCGCTGGCCTTGCAGATCACCAATATTTGCGGAAACACAATGACCAGAACCCTCCAGGGAGGTCGCTCCGAGAGAAATGAGTTCCTTCTGTTGCATGCCTTCCACGAAAAGAACTACATTGTTCCGGATAAAAAGGCTTCCACTCGACGCGGTGGCGGTGGCGATGCAGAAAACACCATCTTGGGAGATGCCACGTTACCTGCCCGTAAGAAGGCGGCCTATGCCGGTGGCTTGGTGCTGGAACCCATGCGTGGTCTCTACGAAAAGTTCGTCTTGCTGATGGACTTCAACTCCCTGTACCCGAGCATTATTCAGGAGTACAACATATGCTTCACCACGGTCCAGCAGCCAGTGGATGCGGACGAGTTGCCAACACTGCCAGACTCAAAAGTGGATGCTGGTATCTTGCCCCTGCAACTGAAGCGCTTGGTGGAGTCCCGCAAGGAGGTGAAAAAGCTGATGGCAGCTCCCGACCTCTCACCCGAACTCCAAATGCAGTATCACATTAGGCAGATGGCCCTGAAGCTGACCGCCAACTCCATGTACGGTTGCCTGGGCTTTGCCCATTCCAGATTCTTCGCCCAGCACCTGGCCGCCCTGGTCACGCACAAGGGCCGGGAAATCCTGACCAACACCCAGCAGATGGTCCAGAAGATGAACTACGATGTGGTGTACGGTGACACCGATTCCATAATGATCAACACCAACATAACCGACTATGACCAGGTCTACAAGATTGGTCGCGACATCAAGCAGAGCGTGAACAAGATGTACAAGCAGCTGGAACTGGACATCGATGGTGTCTTTGCCTGCCTGCTGCTCCTCAAAAAGAAAAAGTACGCAGCGGTCAAGCTGAGCAAGGACTCCAAGGGCAATCTGAAGCGGGAGCAGGAGCACAAGGGTTTGGATATTGTGCGTCGTGATTGGTCCCAGCTGGCGGTGATGGTGGGTAAAGCAGTGCTGGACGAGGTGCTGGCTGAAAAGCAATTGGAGGAGAAGCTGGATGCTGTCCATACCCAGCTGGAGAAGATCAAGCAGCAAATCAACGAGGGTGCAGTGCCACTGCCACTCTTTGTGATCACCAAACAGCTGACCCGAGCTCCTCAGGAGTACGCCAACAGTGCCTCCTTGCCGCACGTCCAGGTGGCCCTGCGCATGAATCGGGAACGGAACCGGCGCTACAAAAAGGGTGACATGGTCGACTACGTTATATGCTTGGACGGCACCACAAACGCTGCCATGCAGCGAGCCTACCACCTGGACGAGCTGAAGAGCAGCGAGGACAAGAAACTGCAGCTGGACACAAACTACTATCTGGGCCAGCAGATCCATCCAGTGGTCACTCGAATGGTGGAAGTGCTGGAAGGCACTGATGTGAGTAGGATTGCCGAAAGCTTGGGAATGGATCCCACAAAGTTCCGGCAGAATGCTCAACGGTGGGTACAGCTTTTCAAATCCAAGAATCTTTATAACCTATCCCCTATATCCCTTTCAGTGCCCAGCGCGAAATAGCCGAGCAGTCGGAGGGCGAGTCCTTGCTGAAGACCACCCTACAACTATATCGATTGTGCGAACCGTTCCGGTTCCAGTGCATGTCTTGTAAAACGGAGCAACTGATGGCCAGTGCCTATCGTCCTGGGGCTAGTCATAGCCATGTTCCGGTGCTCCAGCAATGTGCGAAAGCAGAGTGCCAAACGGCTCCCATTCAGTACCTGGCCAGCATCCGAAATCAGCTTCAGCTGGACATAAGGCGTTATGTACAGCGATTCTACAAGAACTGGCTGGTTTGCGATCACCCGGACTGCAACTACAACACGAGAACCCATACCCTGAAGAAGGATTTGCGACGGCCGCTGTGCCAGAAGTGTAAGAGTGGCAGCCTGCTGCGACAGTATACAGAGCGGGACCTGTACAATCAGCTCTGCTACCTGAGATTTATGTTCGACCTTGGAAAACAGCAGCTGCAGCAGAAACGTAAGTGATGAAGCCAAGTCAGCACTCTATTATACTCATCGGTGTTTATTTTTTTGCAGCCACCCTCACCCCAGAACTGGAGCAGGCCTACCAGCTTCTGTACGAGACCGTGGACCAGCACTTGCAGACCTCCTCCTATGTGGTCATTTCTCTGAGGAAACTCTTCGGGCGCTCCCTCACGAATATGGGCATGCAGACGGCAAAGCTAAAGGCCCGAACCGATCTAGTTGCCAGCACTTTGGCAGATGTCTAATGAGTTTAATTAACTAGCCTTTGTTTTTAAAAGAAATTAAAATTACTACAAAACCAATATTAAAAACTACAACTAAGTCATGTTCCAAGAAACTTCTCGAGGGGAAAGTGGCGGAAGGACTCGTTGAATATGTCCGTAAAGGCGGTGCTCACTAGTTCGTTGATCATTGGCTTCAGAAAGGGCAGGCCCAGCTGCCACATGCTATTGATTACTCCATCGGCCAGCTGGTTAAGCGGCTGCCCCTGCAACAGATTACCAACATGCAGCTCCATTCCTCCGATGCGATCCACCTCCACGTGCACCTTGATCAGGGATCCAGGCTCTCCAATCCGACGCACGCTGGTTGTCTGGCTGTGGGATGTTCAAAAATATTTTTTAGGATTACATTTTGAATAAATTTTTATATCCAGATGACACCAATTGTCGTTGCCTAAATATTTGCATCTGATCCTTGAGAGAATCAATTAAATCGGTATATTGTGTATATTTTTCGCCCAAAAAAAATTAACAAAGAAGTCTATGAAATATTTTGTTGTGGGATTTTGATGCAGATTAATGGAGAATCGATCTACAAATCGTTTAAGGTATTCCTCTCAAGAATCGGATGTTTTTTGGCTAAGATATAGCCTTCTCTGTGGGCCATACTGTCCTCCCCATGCATTTACCACATTTTGACGGGAATCATCCAGAAAATTTGACAAAAAATCTAAAAAATATTTTGTGGTGGGATTTTGATGCAGATTGATGGAGAATCGATCTACAAATCGTTTAAGGTATTCCTCTCAAGAATCGGATTAATTTCCTCACAAGGCTGTATTATGGTGTCCAATTTTAAATACATTTTTTATAAAATGGAAAGCTAGATTCTAGTATTTTTGTAGGTATTGTATATGATTTCATGTTGTAGGAGCAGTAATTACCTACAAATGAGCTGGGTCTTTGGAAAAACCACCTTAACAATGGATAAGTTGGCGTCATTGCTTGGGAAATAGCATGTGCAACCTGGCTACTCACCTGTAGTCGAAAAGCGTCAGATTCCAGTGACCTTTTCGGGTGATCTCGGTGCCCAGCATCTTGCCCACGAACTGGTACTCGCCCTCCAGACTCTTCTCGGGGAAATACTGGGCATAAACGATGCGGTGATCCTCTGGGTCGGCGTGGAATTTGGTCACCTCGGATCTGGCCCATCCGAACTCGGAGACATTGCGCAAGATCAGTCGGAAACTGCCCAGTCCCTGGGAGTCGCCCCTTCGCAACTCGACGTAGCCGCAACGATGTGGGTCAAAGGGCTTGATGTTGTAGTCGGGCACACCTGAAAGTGGCAACCGTAGTGACACCTCACCTAGTTTCCAAACTTTGGCTCACCTGTTGTGAAGTAAGCCCTCAGATCGTTAAACACCTGTCGCATGCACTCGTTGTACTCCTCGCCTGCTCCTCTGCAGCGTCCCAGCATGTGCCTCAGATCCTCATCCACATCGATCTGACTGGAGGCATGTGCCAGGTGAGTGGCAAACAGTAAGATCACTACCAAGTGGACCAGGTGCCTGGTACAGTTTGAGGGCAATTGTTGCGACATGTCCACAGTTTTGGAGTAACACACTGATAATTGCAAATCAAAACAAAGTTTTTATTGTTTTGGTTTCTTTGCACGCGATTTGTTTAGTTTTTGAGTTTTTTTTTAAATGTCATAGCTATGTTTTCTTGTAGGCGTCAAGAGCCACCGGTAATTATTGTTCAAATTGCCCTTGATTTTGGCCAACATGTTGTGGTGGTTTACTCTTTTACCTTCAAAAAACATGAATTATTTAGGTAATTGTGTCTGAAGTTTAAACTTAAATGTAAGTTTTTTAGTCACAAAGAAAGGGAGTGTTGCAACCATTTTATTTAGCTTTATCTTGCAGTAGTTTAGTGCAACATAAACTAGTTTTTTTATCAGTTAATGAGAAGTTTTATAGGCTTTGCCCTAATACACTTTATTGGTTGTTTTTTTTTTTTTAATTATTTTAAATCTTAAAGCTTTGCTTTATCTATTTTTATTGACTTTATAAGTTAATTTGTTTTGTAAATTCAAGATCACAGTTTTAGAGCCTTGTTCTGAATAGAACTGCTTGCGGAAATGAACTGCTTGTCCGTTGCCGATATGATCGTTAAGTTTCAAAAGCATTGTGTTTTGTTAAAAAAGTTATTTTCTATTATTATTTATTCCCGATATTAGAGACAATAACTATTAAATGAAAATATTTTTATTATTTTTAAATGCCTTTTTTCCCCGGAATTAACTAAAATTACACAGTGGAAAAATATATGCTTCGGAAAGTCATAAAAAAAGCCATTTTCAACACACAAATAACAAAAACTACTGTTTATGTCTGGGATTTGGTAATCTTTTTGTCTGCCGCCTGCACTTGACCTCTTTGGGCGTACAGATTATTACTGGACTAGGTAGTGGCTACAGTAGAGCCATAAATAAATGAGGAAAAGACTTAAATGACAAAATTGTGCGCCGCTCATTTCTATGTAAGTAAACAAAAGACTTGGACAAGACACAAACTTGCGGGTGCGAACAACTTTTATTTCAACTTAGCCAGCCGCTCATGCAACGCGAAAGCAACAATAACATCCCAAGCACCAGCACTTGCACAGCACCAATATATGATAACATTTGGCAATTGTTCAGTTTAGCGGTTGCAATTGCAGTAGCCTAGCGATGTTGACCAACGGTCAGTTATTTAACGAAAGCAACTAAGATTAGTGGGATTGGGCAAGTCCACAGTTTTGCATTCACTTTGGGGCTATTTATATGGGGGTTTTTGGGGTTCTGCCGCCCAAATATGAAATTCTATAACTCGAGCAGCTCCTTCGCATGCAAATAAGGCACAAATATTCGAAAATAATATCTTTTACAGTTAGCTGAGCCGAATACGCGACGTGTGATTCACTTGAGCTGCCGTGGCCAACTGAGCCAAGTTTAAACCGGGACCAAGACGAAAGCCGAACCCGAAATAAGCTTCCCACCAAAAGTCGCACTGGCTGCCACCAGCTGTCTGGGCAAAGGCAAAAATAGCAATAACCCAAAAAGCAACAAATAGAAATAGCAGGAAAATGTTTGAGAGCCATGCAAGCGAACTTTGTCAATGCAAACACATGTTTTACACCCTTTTGTATTATTTCCTCATTATGGGCATCTTCCCTCACAAAACTTTAAAAAAATAACAAAGCACTGAGTCGTAAATCAATGGCTTCATAAATTTAGAAGCACGTAAGAATTTTGGGTAGTTAGTTATCCGACTTTTAAAGTATCTTTTACAAAAGGAAATACTTAAATATTTTAATAAACTCAATTCTCTTAAAATGTGTAATTTAAGTGGTAATATTTATATTTTCATATGTGCAAATTTTTAAAATTTATAGCACTATATCATTTTCTATCTGAAGATTTGAAGATACCCCTTCAATACCTCCTAGCTCCCAACAATTACCGGTCATCGTTGCTGAAAACTGACCGGAATTTAATTAGGCAAGCCCAATGTCCGCCTTTGGTTATTTCTAACATTTTTTATTTTAAAAAATCAAGTACACATTCATAGCATTCAAGATCATGGTAATGAATAAATTACGATTCATGATTGACAATCGCGCGTGCTCGGCGCCAACGATTGACAGTAAAGATGCCAAAAACGAGAGGAAGATTATGTGGACTACTTTTTAGCAAATGGATCTGCAAGGTTGCAGCTTCAGTTATTGTGGCTGATTACAATTTAATGAAAGGACAAGGTCAAAATTTACAACAATTCAAAATGCATCTGAAAAAAACGTTAAAAACATATGGAGTAGTTTAATGAACCCATCTTGTAAAATTCCATTAGCTAATATGTTTCTTTAAAGATTTTTTTTTAATAAAAAAATAGAAATTACAAAGTAGAACTTTTATAAAAAGTTCTTTTAGTATTTTTATAGCTGCCACCATTCTGTAGATAGACTTCATTGTTTTGAATTTCTGAATTGACAAAATTTTTTTTTTTTTATAATTCATAATTATATTATATCTAATCATATACAAATTTTAAAATATATCAATTTTTTTCATATCAATGAAAATTCAAACAACTCAGTGGCGCCAAGAGCGGAAAACCAACGAACCAGAATCCCACACTTTGGTATTTTATTTGGTAGTTTTTCACCTGCCGGGCACACTTGACATCTCCAGCACATTTGTTTATATTTAGTTAAGCGGCTAAAGTTAATTTTATTTTGTAATTTATCAAATAATGGAGGTTGAATTCAGCAAGGAGAACTTTCTGCTGCCGGAGATAAAGTATGAATGTAAGTAGACTAAGCTAATGCTCACTGTAACTCCTGTTACTAAGTATTTCACCACCTTGCAGATTTGGACCACACGGCCGATGTTCAGTGAGTAATAACAACACTAAAACGTGACTAAGATATGTGTAGTCGGATGATTACTTATTCACAACCAAAGTAGGAGAACTGCTGTTACCACTAGCCGCTATCTAGCTACCGTTGTATCATATAATTAATACGGATCCCCCCCACGTGTTAAAGCAGAACCTCTCATATAGGCCCCCAAACCAATCTAAACCTTTCCTTAACGTTTACTTACCTTTTCCTTATCTATTTCCTTTTACAGACTTCATGGATGGGGAACCGATCTTAAGGAAGCCTTCGAACAATGCGGAGTGGCCATGTTTGGATACATGACCGAATTGGAATACGTCTCCGTGGAACAGTGCTTCGAAATCGAGGCCCAAGGTGATGATCTGGAGGGACTTCTATTCCATTTTCTTGATGAGCTGCTGTTCCTTTTCTCGGCGGAGCCATATTTAGTCTGCAAGAAGCTGGATATCACAAAGTTCGATCTTGACACATTTACGATCGTCTGCCGATGCTACGGAGAACCTTTCGAGCTGGGAAAACATCCGCAGGGCACTGAGGTGAAGGCCATCACATATTCGGCCATGCAAATTGTCCAGGAACCGGAGAAGGGAAACTACGAGGTGTTTGTCATAATTGATATTTGATCCCAGCTACGATACGTTATGTTGGATATTAAAGTTGACTGTTCTGTTTCCACCCCTTTTGGCTGTCTTCATTAATCATAAGTGAAATGCCAAAAAAAACTATAAAAAATTACTGCATAGCCCCGAAAAATCTGCAATCTCTCGTGCTGAGACTGCATCCCCTGTCTGAAGTTTCAGGAGGATGACTTATCACAAAAACCACTCGATTGTGCGGCTGCTAATGCAATTAGGACTGGCTTTTTCCTTACCAGTCTGATTCCTGAATCAAAGTTTAAAATTTTTAAAGTCTTTAAAAGTCTTTAAAATTTTCAAATTTAAAAATCAATCTATCGTTAGGGTTAGTAATGAAACTTTTTGTAGGGGAGGATTCCATTCCAAAGTGGGTAAAAAATAAGAAATGTTATTATTGGATATTTACATTTATTGAAAGTATAACATGAGCCTTTTGGGGATATACCTACAAAAAATTCAAACATATGATTATCTATATATATTTCTGTCTTTTAATATATTAACTCTGCCTCACACATTCATAACAAGTGATGCAACTTTAAAAATGGGAAATGATGACGGAAAAAAACCAACTAAAACCAATGTTTTTCCAACTCTCCTAAGTAGCACATATTATTCTGAAAACCTAGAGAAAAAATTGTATACCAATTATTTACGAATAAGACCGATTGATTTTTGTTTACGAATAAGAACAGTAACCTCCCCTCAGAAAATGGCGCCAGTTTGAATTTAGCGAGGACCTGAACCAATTCCCATATCAAAACCATCCCATGTGTTGCCATCAGCTGCGTGGAACAATGGGAATGGAAAATGTAAACAACAAAAAAACGCTTGCCGGGCAGCGTAATAGTGTGGGTGTGCGACAAGATTTCCTTGGCTATCAAATCTAGGCGAAATTATTTAGACCAGTCGCGATTACCATTTCTAACTGATTGATTTTGAAAAGCAACACTGCGATACGTCCGAAAACGGCAGCGAAACAACACACGAAAGCGTGTGTGAAAGAACAAACAAAGTATGAAAGGCAAATCAAGCAGTAAAACGCACACACTGAAAGGCGGCCAGTCGGCAAGTTGCTCATTTCGCTCTTGGCTTTGAAACGCGTCGAACCGTCGTTAAAAAAATGTTGGCCAAAAAACTATCCAACATAAAAAATCGTTGAATATTAACCGTTAGGCTATACTATGCAGAATCAGTAATCAGTAAAAAGTGGGTGGAAGAAACGAAGAAAAAACGTCATCAGCGCCGCATTTTCGCCCCGTGTTTGTTGTTGTGTTTGCTGTTGCTTTTCAATTCGCCGCCTCGCCCTCTCGCTCTCTCATTCTTTCTGCAGCCACCAATTGTCATGGTGTTCAAGTAAGAAGAAGAGCCAAGCTACCCGTGAGCACATTGTGCGTTAGTTGGATAGCATTTTGGATCCACAAATCGGCCGGATATCGGTCGGATAGCTCCCTAAAAATCCCACCAATCGACAGGTAACACCGCCAGCTACAATTTCCGATCAAAAACGGAGCTCCAACTTGAACGCAACTGAGTGAAAAACGTGGCGGAAAAATCCATACGAAGACGGAACGGAAAAAAATGTGGTAGGTAGTAGTACTAAGTAGAAGTAGAGAATGTGACATGTGTGTGTGGGTTTCTATCGGTGGCAGTGTGTGTGCGTGTGTGTGTGGCGGGTGCTGCGCTGGGCATTTTCTTTATAGAATAGGAAGCCCCCCTTCTCCATCACAAAAAAGCAACTGTTTTTTTGGGCGTACGCCCCGCCCTCAGTCGCCAGCCGGCAAAGGCAACAAAAAAAGTTCATGCCGGTCCAGCTGACGCAGCAGCTGCAAAAAAAAAAAGAAAGCCTAAGAAGGGGGAGCCACGGCCGCGGGGGTGGTGGCCGAGAAGGTGGTTGTCGAAATGGCGATGCTAATGCGCACTTTATATAATTTCATCCCCACTACTACCTGTCTACTACCTGTGGACCATCTAGTACCTAGTACTTTGCCAATGCCCTTCGTGAAAATGCCCACATTATCTAGCAGTTGGCACTAGTGTGTGTGTGTATGATAGTGGGACTGGTAACGGATTCTTTGCAAAATCTAATTCATCAAAACTCTGGGCTGACGTCACTCAAATTTCATTTGCATCCATTCTAATTTTATTTATCCGAAGAGTAAAATCAAGCTTCAAACACTGGAAGAAAAAGGGGACTAATGTGGAAGAATATTAAATAAAATACACTATTTAAATCTTGAATAATTTATTAAAAGTACTATTATAAACCCCAAAACCCTGTTTTTTTTCTAATCCCTAGTACTACCCTACGACGTATCAGTTCCAAAATAACTTTATTTTAATACATAGCTCCCTGTATAACTCAGCTTGTGATAATCAGCTTTGATTGTAAAAATACCCAATCTAGAAAATTCCAGACTTCCAAACCTTTTTAAGATATTTTTTCAAGGCAATCTCAACCTCAGCCCTTCAAGAACTTAATTTAGCCTCGATTTTGGAGCCAAAAGTTCGATTAGAAACGTTGCCAGATTTCCCGGGAGGGATGCTGGTGCTGATCGGCTCAGATGCTCGAGTTATATAGTATGGGGTGTGGTCCTATTTTCTTTTTTGCCAATTGCTCTTACAATTACCATTAAGAATTGGGCGCATGACTCCCTACGTCTTATCAGCGTATCAATTAACCCAGATAGCAGAACACGGAACTTGCTTTCCGATGATAAGAATGCAATTGAAACTTTCCCTGGGAAAACATAGAGTAGAATGATGTAGAAACAGTAGATGTTTCTGAGAAGAAATGCACATTGGAGGAGGAGTACGCTGGGTCAGCTTTTTGGCGACGTCATAGTTTGATGACCTCCACAGACTCACACCACGATATGGGGCCAACCAATACGTCAGCAATTATGCATACAAGTACATATGTATATACACATATGTATGCTCCAAAACGGGGCAATGGCGGCCATCGAAGACGACGCTGTCTCATGGCTTTTTTTTCTCCCCATCTCTTCCCAAGTATTGGGGCGGCGACTTTATTTCTCGAGTCTGCAGTTTTTATTTTTTTTTCTCTACCATTTTTGTATTTGGTTACTTTGATTTCGCTTGGCCTTCGGGGGCTTTTGGTCTTGGACTCTCTTGGTCGGATGTCGGGTCTTTTGTGAACCAGTTGCTCTAAGCGCCTCTGTTACCTGTTCGCTTGGTCGCTTGGTTGGTAGCCCGTGCTTGGTATACACATCATTTTGTGCTGCCACAGTTTACGCCAAATCCGATATAGCATTACGGAAGCAGTGATTTGTACATTTTCCCCCCCTCCTCTTTTATTGTCGCTGAGAAAATCTCCAATCTGTCGATGACTGGCCTCCACAATCTTAAATGCAATTGACAGTTTTGGTTTCGTTTAATGGCGTTGGGTTTTATCTCTTGCTGGGGTGATAAGGCCTCCGAGAACCCCAAAGAGCTACAATTACTTTTTAATGAAATTGAGGTCATTTTTATTAAAAGTCTTATTACTTAAAAATGGTCTTAAAATAAGTTTAAATAGAGCTTTGTGTTGTTTAATATTTAATAATGTTTAATGTTTAATATTAAGGTTCTAGATTGTAAGTTATTTCTGTTATTTCTTGATTAGATCAACTAAAAATCTATATTCCGATAATATTTTTCTTTAACTCCAATCTGTTATAAATTACTTAATAATTGAATAATTATTGTAATAAATATAATCTCCAGTTAGGATCCTTAAATAAACCTCCCCTCAAGACAATCCCCATTTGAAACCTGGCAGTCTGGCAACTCCAGTTTAAATCTCATCAAGTGGCTTACACAATCTTTGCCCCAAAAATCCAAAAAAAAAAAAAAAACTCACGCTTACCTACACGTCTCACATGAAATCAGCGCACTTGCTCCGAGCAATATTATACACAAATTTGTACGACAGGCTAATACTTTTCATAATATATTAAATACTTGAATTTCATTTTTTTTTATATTTATTATGGACTGGCCACTTTGGGTCATCGCTTGCCCGATCACATCGTGTTTGTTTTTATCATGTGCTGCCTTTTTTTTTGTGGCTCGTCGTCTTCTGTGAGCGTGAGTGTATTAAGTTGTTGTTGCACTTTTATAACAGACCATAATGGGGGACGTCTGGGGAGGCACACACTCGCTGGCTTAAAATACTTGAGCGAAACGAGTTGAAAGCGATTTCATTAATATATGCCTTTTTGTCGATTCTTTCGGGTTGATGGTGTTGTTAGTGTGCTGGCCTCTGGTGTGGTGACTACTGATGCTATTATTATTTTTTTTTTTATTATTTTTTATTTAATCGCCCTTTGCCTTTTTTCATACCCTTTGCTGTAATATGGCGAGTGCTTTATGAAGCTAAGGTCACACAGGATCAAGTGTCTTATTTTATAGACTATTTTATTATAATATTTTTAAATTTGGCTTTTTACTGACTGTATGGCCCATTGCTGTGTTGCCCCTGGGTAGAATTGAACATTTTGTTGTTTTTGGGAATTTTTTTGTCAGTGCTGTTGGCTGGTTTCTGTTGGGCTATTTTTAAAAAAAATTTTGCTTGAAAACAACAACAAAAAATTAAATAAAAGAGAGAAGAAAAGAAAAGACGAGGCAAGCCGAAGTCGACGCAGTGGCATCAATAATTGTTGTTGTTGTTACTGTTGTTGCTGCTGCGTTGGAATATGGAATTTCTTGGCAAAACCCCACGTCATATACACTCACATACTGTTCGCAATCTGAATCGAGACTTGAAGAAAGGGGAGAAAGCCACAGGGGAGCTTAATTATTCCGCCAAAAAAAAATAATCGAAACTTATATCTAGATACTGCATAGATAGATACTATCTATTAGATAGATATCTATATCTATAGCTTTTGCATAAAACATAATGGCATCGATTTCCAAAACCAACCCAGACAGCCAGGGGTGGAGAGGTAGAAGAAACACGACTGGTGGCGTCCAGTGCTGGTGGAGTGGAGGTGTCCCTGTTTGTATCCATGTATGACAACTCATTCGTTGTTGTTGTTGTGCGCTGGACGAGAGGAGCTGGTTCTGTGGGTGATGTCGTCACTGGATGACAGCGACAAAAACAGCAACAGAAATAACCCATTGCCATTCTCGACTCCGGAACCAATTAGGTCACATTGGCGTTGTAGCAGCTTCCTTCTCCTCCTTCGATCCCTTTTTTTTCTGTTCTTTATTTTTTATGTCTTAAAAAGCAACTTTTCACTTCATTGATAAAATGATTAATCGTTATTATGATGGTGATGGTTGTGGAAAGGGGGTCACCCTAAATTCACTAAAATAAGAGTAAATTATAAGCTTTAAAAATAAAGGTTAAATAAATTTTTCTACAAAAACGTCTAAAAAAAAGGGTTAATCCTGAAAACAATTTTATTTTAAAGAATTTTTTAAGTTTAGTATTTTCTCTCTCTGTATAAAAGCTGCATTATATCAGTGTATGTGTGTGTGTGTCACCTAGATGGTGACGCGTTAAAGCGGATGTTTAAACGATTTATAAGCAGACATCGCATTCTGTTTTGGGGGTCTAATGTGAATTTGATAACGAAATTAAGGTTCAACAGAGGTCAAATGCTCTGAATACTCGGAAGGATGAAACATAGTTGATAATAATATAAAAGAATTCTTTATTATTTAGTCATAAGTGGGCTTCCAATAAACAAATTTTAATTTTCATAATATTTCTAATAAAAACCATTAGTAAAATCTGATATATCCTGCGGCTTAAGAATCCTATGAATCATTTATGTAATCATTTGTATAGATTATACCGTGACCCAATGATTTATATTCAATCACTGAGACAAAAACAAAAAAAAAGATTCCCATGTAGGATACCTCAAGCCCTACCACCCTAGACTTAGTCTTGAAAAAAAGGCTCACCCTAATCATAATTCCTGCCCAATATTTATATGACACGAAAAAAAAAAAAGAAAAAACTGCATCCCCAGATAATTACAAGAAATTGATTTGATTTGATTATGCCATAAAGGAGAGCGCTTGCGCAGCTGCCTCTGGAAATACCCTGCTCTAATTGCCTAATGCATATAGAATTATGCGAAAGGTGAAAGCATTTCACCCTAAGATCCTAGGGAAAGAAAAACTTTTTGTGAAAATCGATAACGAATGCAATTTATGGGACACGGGGCTGAATCTTAAGATACAGCTGCACCCCGAGCGAGGACAATGGGGAAGTGTGAGTGAAGGGCCTCTCCTCTCTCCCATTGAGACAATTGCGAAAGTCGCTGGGAGTAGCAGTGAGTGGTTCACTTTCTTCATTTGCGGAAGAAAGAAAGACCGAATGCAGAATGCCAGAATGGCAGCTGGCCAAGACAATGGCAAAGGTAACTCTGAGGACATTTTGCATCATCTACTGAATGGGAAAACGGACATGGTCCTTTTGTTCCTCCTTCTTGTTCGTTTGCCTGTGGGATGATCTTTTATAATCCCAAGTATGCCGAGATCTCCGTGTACGTGCTCATAATTTATGCCCGAGCATCAGCAGCAGCAGCCTCAATGGCACTCGGTCTCAGATACACAGATACAC